AAGGGTGAAGACCACGTCTTTGTTTGCCAACACTTATCAGATAATAGTATTGTTGTAAAACGGTTAATTAATCCAGGTGGTCATGTAACACCGATTGCTGCATCATCGGATGAGGGCGGAACATTCACAGCTACACAAATGAAATTAGAAAACTCTGTTGTTACATGTGAGTTTACATTATCGAATTTTGGTTCAAGAAGAAGACGTCAGTCAACAATACCGCTACTTTCTCAAACAACTGAATATCATCCACTCATTGCAATTGGACCACTCGACAGTTCAAGTAAGCTATGAAGACTTTTTAAAGCGTTGTATATGGCACGTTTTCAAAATATTTTCAGTGTTTGAATAAAAAATATAGCCATGTCTGCATCTCGCAAAAACTGAATAAGTTAAAGGATTCTCTAAAAATATCCCATAGTTTTGACTAGTTTGCCTGCTAAATTCAGTATTTTATCATATATCATTTATTCTAAGATAGTGGAAAGGTAATGGCACCCTTTTTTACTCAATTTTCGGTCGGTCTTCCAAACATGCCTAATTAGTCAGTTCTACCACTCCAACAGAAAGAACATATTATGAACATTTTCTTTTAGATGCAATGCAGGAACATACGAGTAAAGAAGCACAATCACAACTTGTATTATTAAATAGTCAAGAAGCAATTGTGTACAATATCAATCCATCTGCTGCTGTTGACACATCTACAAGCCCATTATCAACTACGAATTCTGCAACTGGTGTCGATATTAGTTGAGATCATTCAACTATTATATGTAATCAGTTTTCTGGATAAAGCGAGAGAGATGAGTTTGACCATATAACTGAAGGATTAGAAAATTTTCTTCTAAAGCATTGTAGCAAGAAAAATACATCAGAAAATTTTATACTGTTGTTTTTGGAATAATTTCGTGGCAAGATGAAAACGAGATCGAGACGACAAAATCAATTTTTCTTAATCTGCATGAGACACTAGGTTAAAACTCATCAGAATTGCTGCGTAATTCTTAAATTATCCTCTTGGACCTATTCTTCTGGAATAACGACAGTTCAAATGGTTGCGAACGATTTACAAGTTCAACAATGGGTGGCGTTGGGTCTATCACTCGATGAAGAGATGGTAACTTTAGTTTTATACTAACATATTCTTCAGCGTAAAGTGTTTATTTTAAGGGTGAAGACCACGTCTTTGTTTGCCAACACTTATCAGATAATAGTATTGTTGTAAAACGGTTAATTAATCCAGGTGGTCATGTAACACCGATTGCTGCATCATCGGATGAGGGCGGAACATTCAAAGCTACACAAATGAAATTAGAAAACTCTGTTGTTACATGTGAGTTTACATTATCGAATTTTGATTCAGGAAGAAGACGTCGATCGACAATATCGGCACTGTCTCAAACAACTGAATATCACCCACTCATTGCAGCTGGACCACTGGATAGTTCAAGTAAGTTAAATACATTCAGAAGCTTTGCTTAACTTCCTAAGTATAACAGACAGGGGGGAAACAGCAGACCCCGGGACTCCAAGGGACTCCGCTATTTCCTGGAGTTCTTTTATTGGGAAAATTTCTGTACCGGAACAATTATGTTCTGTTCTGTGAATTGTTTCCCACAGACAGCACGCTTTTGTTCTCCTTGTGGAACCGAGATTTCTGGGACAGTTCAGTTCAATAAAATTTCTTAAGTTTCCTTAAGGACTGTAAGGGACTCCAAGGCACTGCGACGGGCTCCAGGGGACTCCAAGTGACTCCATGTGTCTGGAGTCTGTTGTTTCCCCCTTGATAAGAGGTCAGTGTTAGTAGGAACATATCAGACTGTGAAGCCGAATTGCTCACAGCGTTTTGGAGTTTTAAAATTTTAAAAGCTATTCCCAGATACTAATCATCAAGTCCTACTGCATCAGTGAAGAGAAACCAGATTAGGATGAAACTTTTATCAAGGACACACTACAATGAATAAAGTATGTTGAAGAATTCAGAAGCTTTTTGTAGTTAGTCTAATTCTGTTGGTAATGGTTGACTACTGTTCGTTTCTCTGGAGTCTTACTGTTGTACGCAGCAAAATGAAAACTGAACACCAGTAACTCATATCTATGTCCAGTAAGTCAGTCTGCTCGGTCTCTGTCTGATATATGTCTGGTTAGTTGTTTTTTTAGTTAGTTTTTCGTGAAAATACTGCGAGTGTATTAAATGCTGAGCTATGCTCTATCATTCTACTTATTCGGTCGCAGAAGCATCAAACGAGTAGGTGAGAAAAAGTTAGATAGGTATTCCTGTTTGTTAGAGGATGTGGTTTAAGTTGAGAATTGACAAAGCTCACTTATTGTTTGTTTTTCTTATCCAGCCAGAAATTTGTGTTAGAGACCTTATAGACATATCGTTCGATAGACTACAGATATGAGTTATTGGTGTTCAGTTTTAATTTCGCTCGGGTAACGGTAGGAATCCAGAGAAATGAACAGTGATAAACAATTATCAACAGAATTAAAGTAAGTACAAAAAGCTTCTGAATTTTCCAATATAATTTGCTCATTGTAGTGTATCCTTGACAAAAGTTTCATCCTCAGCTGGTTTCTATTCGCTGAGTCGACAGAGAAACATTTTAGTTTAAAGAGCTGCACATGACAGTTCACGGAGACACTATGCTGTTGTTGTTAAAAATTTGTGACTTAACATTTGGAGTCAAGTAGATAGGATTTTTCTACTCAAAGAGTTGCACAATTCCGGTAAAATCAGACTAATTGTAGTCGATTCTCAAGGAAATTTTGTATTATCTATTTAAAGATTCAATGGAACAACACACAAGTCGTCAAGCTCAATCACAATTAGTATCATTAAATCGTGATGAACAAATTTCATACAATTCCGATGATAATCTTAGTGGTGGCTTACATTTAATGATTGCCCATGGTAGTATAATGATATTTGCATGGATTTTGATTGTACCGACGGGTATATTAGTGGCACGTTATTTTAAAAAAATAATATTTACAAAAGATAGAAAATTATGTGGTGAAGCCATATGGTTTGCATTTCATCGTCTGCTGATGTCAACTGTAGCCATACTGACTATAGTGGGTTTTCTATTTATTTTTGCCTATAAACAAGGTAGTTGGACAAAACGTTCATCAAGTACAAAAAGTGAATTTGCACATTCAATTACTGGCATTATTATTATCTCTTTTACATTTTTACAACCAATTATCGCTTTATTTCGTTGTCATCCAGAAAGTCGCTATCGTTTTATATACAATGGTATACATGGATTTATTGGATTTTCAATATTTATTCTATCAATTGTTACCCTATTTTTAGCTATGCATTTTGCTCAGTTTGTATCTTTCAAAAAATTTGGTCAGGGTATATTAATTGGATGGGCAATTTGGGTTGGTTTAGCATTTATTTTATTTGAATTTATTGAATTCCTTTTTATAACGAAAAAGATCTCAGCGGCAGAATTAGAGTCACGAGAATCAGAAACCATTCGTTTGAAATTTGCCGCTATGAATAGTAGAACTTTACCAACAATACCTGTTAGTAATGAAAAACCAAAACGAACACAGTTGAAAGATGGTTTAAAAATTGTACTGCTGGTAGTACATATATTAGTGGCATTGAGTTTTACATTAGCACTTGTTATAAAATTAAGAAAAAAGTACTGAACTATTATTGTCCGTAACACAAAGATATTGACTCTTATTTTCATTCACTCTTTTGTTGTTTTAGAGGGTATACATAGTCCCTAAAAACAGTGATACATATAATTTTGCACTTAAGGACACTATACTAGTCGGTGAAAATGTCAATTAAGTCAATTGCTCGTTTTTCTTAATCGTTTAGCTGGCAAAACGATGAGTCAGTTGAATTTTATTGTTATAGTTCAAATATAAAATACAATAAAGTTTTAAAAAATTCGATACTTACTGGTAGGACGTTAAGCGTACACCACACTCATTTTCGAGAAAATTTTCATTATCAAGACAAACATGATGCGTGCCTCGGGCATGTTGGCAGAACTTTTTTATAAGTTTTGTTTTAAGCTTATGGTTTACCTTATGGTTGTTTATGTTGCTAAATAAACTGAACTGAACTGACAGAGCGATGACGTGTCCTCTACAAAATAAGACCAGTCCTAGTTCTCTACGATCTTTTTTTCTTGGAAGATACGAATTTTTAAAATTAGTCACTTTACTCTAAAGAAGACGATTTTTAAACTTTCTTCGTTTTTTTCTTCATTCCGGCACTTTAAAGGTCTTTTAAATAATGAGTCCTGAGAAGTAAAGAGTTCTAAACAAAACCATGATTGATAGAGTTACGAACATTTTTCTAAAAGCTCTCGGAAAAGTGAGTTTCGCGTTCTAAAGTTCCTAGTTCAAAACATTGTTTTCTGCTAGTGCACTCAATCGGCGTTGCTTACACCCCTCTGGAATTTTATCCGATCGGACTGACATTTTTACTGTCGGTAAGGCAGGAACCGAGCTTCGCGTATACCCAGAAACTCGAACCGAGCTACCCAGAGTTCAAGCCACCCGAACTTCGAGCTACTCGAAAATTTAAAACAACAAAAGTAGTTTCTTGCTTATGAATGTAGTTTTACATTCTTATACCATAAATGTATCGATATGGACGTTGATCATGGACTGGAAATGAATCTTTCTTGTAGAGAGATTCGAGTGCTTTTGCTTCATGAATTCCTTTTGGTCACAAAGCAACGGAACAACATATGTAGTACGATGGGCGAGGTCAATGTACTCTCCATCCGTACGGCACAACATTGCTTCAATCGCTTTAAGAACGGTAATTTAGAACTCGACGATTTACCTCGCTCTGGGCGACCACTAGAAGTGGATACGGATCTCTTAAAGCAGCTTATCGAAGAAGATAGTCTATTGACTACACGGTGTTTAGCAGAGTAGCTTGACTGCTCTCATACTGCGGTGGAAAAACATCTGAATGAAGTGGGGAAGGCGTGGAGAAATGGAGTTTGGATACCCCATGAGTCATCACCACATCAGCTTCAATACAGGCTTGGTGCTTGTATGAATCTAATGACATCTCACCGCAACTACAAATGGCTCGGGAATCTTATTACTGGCGATGAGGAGTAGGTGTTGTACATTAACTACGCGCACAGGTGCCAGTAGCTGAGCGCTGGTCAAACAGGTGTAGCAACGCCTTAGACTGATCCTAAGAATCCATCCTAAGAAGATGATGCTGAGCGTTTGGTGGGGAGTCAAAGGGATTATTCATTGCGAAATTCTTCCAAATGGCTGCACCATCACTGCTGATCTCTACTGTCAGCAATTTGATCAGGTTGCAGAAAAACTCAAGGGAAAGCAGGAATTTACTTTTTGCATGATAACGCAAGACTCCATGTTGCAAAGGCGAGGCGCGAAAAATTATTGAAGCTCCGATGGGTTACCATTCCCCATTTGCCTTATTCTCCAGACTTGGCTCCAACGGACTACCGTTTGTTTCGTTCTCTGTCTAACCATCTACGCGAGAAAAAGTTCGACAACGAGAACGCCCTCAAAATGGATCTCGTCATCTCCGATCAAAAGTCCCAGGATTTCGGACGCGGGATTCTTGTTCTGCCAGAGCGTTGGCGACAAGTCATAGATAGTAGTGGTGCATATATAATTGAAAGCTAGTTGGATTGTTGAAGTTGTAGAAGAAAAAGAAAATTTTTGAAAAAAACGCAAAAACTTTCTTGCCAATCTGATATCCTATATAAGAAAAAATTTATATTCCTTTTATTGTTCTATTCTATTCTATACACTCTCTCTCTATTTCACTGTATCTATTTTTTTGTTTTCTTCTCTATTTCTCTCCATCTACGAATATGTCAGTGTATGTTTTTAGTACGTATGTGTGATAATCAACTTTTCTTTTCGACTGTTCTCAACATGTAAATGGCCCGCCCGCTTTGTTGAATCAAATAAACTATGTTTAGATCAAGTTCTATGTTAAAAAATATTTAAAAAGAAAGCCAGGTAGCATGTACAAATCTGCCCTTGTTTTTACTGAAACAGCTTCAAAAAAACGAAAAAAAAGATGGAATGAGTAACGTGTAAAAAATAAACTTAAAAACTGTTTTTTTATTATTATTATTCTTGTTGTTGTCATTACTTTCTCTCTTTTATGTTGTCGCCGTGTATCGTTTCTATACATGTATTCTAGTGCTGTCCTCTGTCCTCAGTCAATTTATGTTAAGATGTAATGGGATCTCTGTAATCCGTTCCAATGTGTATATCAAGGATAATTCCTGTTATTGAGAAAAGAATGTGTTCTTTTGATATTTTCTTAATTTTGTGTAACTAAAATGTCAATTCAAGCTGAACAAATTGATGGAACGGAACACCCTCATCGAATTCTTTAGAAATACACCATATGTACAAAGACCAACATGTACTAACACAAAATATAATATAATAAATAATAAGAATCCAAAATGCAAAATTATAAAGTATTTGCTGGCAATAATTTTCTTTTTGAATTAAATTTGAAAATTGTACTTGCTTTTTCATTGGAAAAATTAATATACTACCCTAGAAAAGAAATTAACATGAGTTGTTCTTTTATTTTTCACACTACGGTTTTGTAGAATGATGACATTAACCGAGTCTCGTGCACCCTTTTAAAATTAATCCTAGTCCTTCATTTGTAGATAAGACAATGTACAGGCGTAGCTTGTCAAACTGTTGTCACTGAAGTGCGCTTATGCTGTGTGAGAAAAGAAAAGAACATTAAAATAAGAAGGAACTCTACTAGTATCAGTGAGACACAGTGGATTGTTAACAACATCACTAATAAGTAACCATATAAGCATTTTTTCCAGTGCTAAAAGAATATATGGACATATATACATACAAACAGACATTGACAAAAGATAGCTCATACCGTGTATAAATAAACAGTAACTATTATTATTTCACAACAAGCAGAGATAATTAAATAAAGAGGTATCAATGAGCGTATTGGACATTGACCATAATACATAATTCCAATAATCAGTTTCATTATCGGTATAATTAATACTATAATACAGATAAACACTTTACACATTCTTTTAACAACTTTCCTCCTGCGTTTTTCGAATGAATATTTTAATTGTTTATTTCTGGCAACTAAAAAGGAAAACAAGAATACAGCTTTTAAGAGGAGGAGGATGGATAAACTAGGACTGCAAGTCCCAAATCTTTTGACTCTTTTCAATCGGAAAAATGTCAAAATGACGTATGGAACATATTCCATCATAAGTTTTCTGAAATTCTAATATAAACTTTTGACGCCTATACTAGAACTTAGGGTTTCTGTAAAATCTTTTCCCTCACATTTAATAAATGTGCGTGAACTATATGCAGCTGAGTGTGCTGATCATGAATATCACGTCTGGAATTGAAACAATGTTTTTGTCTATGAGATATTCAACTTTTACTGTACGATGATATATTTATGTTTTTCACCAAATTAATACTACCATCGTGTAAGGAATGCATCCTTCTTGATGAAAAACGGTCAGATATACAATTATATACTGTGAGAATTGTAGAAGGAAAGTTTTGTATTTCTGACTTTTTTCTTATAAGCGATTGTTTTTGGTTTTCTTCGTACACTAAATAAGCTTAGAATTAGTATGCATCACCGATAGTAGTATGTCTTTTCTTTTCGTTGGATATCAAATTTAAACATCGAAAAATGTAAATCCATGGCATTCTCTCTCTCTGCTTTTGTACTCAATTACAATCACAAAATACGTATTGATGGGCCACTAATAGATAAAGATACATAATAGGTATACTAATAACATATAATCTCGCATGGTCATCACATATTGATAGCATCATATCAAATGTCATACGATTATGAATATGCTACGTTTTATTAGAAATATATTCTCCTTACATGTATTGAATATGTTCTATGCAACACTGATTTTAACAATTATCTGCTACGGTGATGTAATTTACCTTTCGTATTTAACTACTAAAGAATATTAAAAATTGGTCTCTTTTTAATACAAAGCAGGATGTGTAGCCAGAGATGCAATACCGGGCTCAAAATGCGAAAATATTTCGAAACAAGCCGGTCGACTATGGTTGTGGGATTCATTTTTTATTCGTAGAATGATATTGTTTTATAAATTTGTGTATGGGAATGCAGACTTACTGTCGAGAAATTTTCGTGATTATAAATCATCAAATACACGCTCGAATAATAATTTAGTTCTGAAGCGGGAAATTTATACAAAAAGGTATTTCGACAAGGACATTTTTACCAAAAGAAATGCCAGACATATGGTTACTTTTAAAAATAATTTTTCCTTAAAAATTTTAGAGAAGAGATATGCGACGCTTAGTCACTTGCTCACTTGGAGAGATCATTAGTTGAGCTCAAATATGAAAAAACGTTTTTCAATTTTTGGTCCTTTGAATAGTAACAGGTACTTCAGAATAAATCGGTCACTTAGTATTTGGTCAGGAAGTCGGTTGAATTTGACCTAAGCTTTATTGTTTTCTGAAAAGAAGTGCCATGAAATCCTCCACAAAAAACATATTAAACAGTTATCTATATACCGTTAAGATAAAAGAGTATATAGAAGAAATATTCCGAAGCTTCAATCTTGATTACTTTGCAACGCAAGAAAAAATGAAAAAAACAG